AGAGTGTTTCCATGAATAGAAAGTTGAAAATAACAGCATTCATTTGAAATAGAAATGTTTTTGTGACATTGTAAAATCTCAGTTTTAATCATTTTAATGCTTCCTTGCTGAATAAAATTATGAATTTCTTTTTTGAAAAATTGACCCCAAACTTTTGAATGGTAGTGTATTTGAACAAACATTTACACATTTTACTTGCCTTTGTGCTCCACAAAGCATTCATTTCACTCTCTTACTTTGAACCCTCTCTCTCAACAAACAGGGTTTGTTATTTGTGTCGTCACACTCTGGTATTGTGCAGCTGCCAGTAGCAAACTGCAGTTTCCATAACAACTGTGGCGAGTGTGTTTTGGCCAGAGACCCATACTGTGCCTGGACAGGCACACACTGTACTGACGTCACACGTATCCCACCACAAAAGTAAGTCTTCTTTCCTTCCCTTTTCCAGGTCATCTGTTGAAGTAATCATTTTCTGTACCAATACCAATTTCTACCTTCTTTTGCATATTTCAGCCAATGGCAGCAGGATATCGAGAAGGCAGACACTTTAAAATGTAACAGCAAAATGCTGAGTGTGTACTCTGAGAGCTCAGGTAAACCTACAAATCCCGACATATTCAAGCATCTATCATCCATCTGAATATCTCATAACACCCATCTCTCTTCCTCTCTTTCTAGTGTCACCACGTTCTTTCCCAAGTTCCCAAGAATCTGATTGCGTGCTCATCATCGTCCCAGCTAATACTCTTCGCCTGCTGCTCTGCAATCTTCGCTCCAACCATGCACAAAGGAAATGGTCATACAAGCCAGATGTAGGACACTTCCTGTTCCCAAGCCCGGAGGGTGGGTTAGTAGTCAGCGGCCGTGCAGGCAGCGATGAGGTCTTCTCGTGTTGGTCAGAAGAACATGGCTTCAGGCAGCTCTTGGCCAATTACTGTGTGAAGGCAGAGCCTTTATCCGAGACTACAACCAATACGGGGCAGATGGATGAACATCTTATAATCCAAAGCATATCGTCGGATGTCTTGTCCAGCGAATCAGCGCGCGCCGCTCAACTGCGCATAAAGACGTATGGCACAGAGCTGGCCGTAGTGTGTGTGCTGTTAGCTGTTTGTGTGCTTTCGTTCGGGCTGTCGGTAGCATATCGACACAGGGGCTGGATGAAGGAGGTACTGAGAGGAGGAGAGCAAACTGGAGGAGCCCAAAAGAGCACAGTCAGGCCTGGGGAGAGTTTACCCCTCAATGCTGGTGAGCTTCCAACCTCCCCATCCGACCACAAAAGCTACCAGACATTGGAGGATAACTGTGGTTACACAATCGCTCAATCAGAGACAAGCACGCAGAACAACTCCAAAGAAGCACAGACACTTGCCCAAATGCCACAGAATGGCTTTAAAGAGACTCATGTGGAAGTCAGTGACATTAGCCCTCGGCCACGAGTACGACTGGGCTCTGAGATCAGAGACTCTGTGGTGTAAAATACTGACGTTTCCGATGTTTATGCGTAAATTATGGAAATTCAGTCTAACACTCTTAATGTTCACTTGGTACATTCAATGGGCAGCTTTCTTGAAGACTAAGCGTACTGAGCCCTGAGCACAAGAGAATAGATGGGACATGCTCAGTGTGTGTATTGCCAAATTGTAGTTGTTTAAGACAATGCCCTCAAATCTACTCCCACATCTCCTTCACTCTTTCATGTTAAACGGTAAAATATGACACAGTTTACTGTGTTAATATGAGAGTGCGCTGATACATTAGAGATCAGAAACAACAATCCAAGGAAGGGTGGACCAGATGGATGAACAGGAGAGAGATGGGCAATGAGCCTTGTGTTGTAGGAATGGTACTGGTGCTATTATCACTGCCAAGACAAAGAGTAATGATGCCTAATTCAAGGTGAGAAGACTGTTCTATGTCTGTTTGTATTCCTTTGCTATTCTTTGTGCAAAGTTTCAATGCATAAGTGTTTAATGGGGTACTTTAAATGTAAGATTTGACTATGAAACCCATAGCCCATACTCTGCAGATTCTCATTATACCAGCATTGAACACCAGGCAGTTCAGACCAGGTTGCTTGTTAGTGTTATAGAACTTGGTTACTTTCTTAACATTTTAGAAATCTGCTGTTATTTTTATTTATTCCCTTTTTTTAATTTCCATTTTATTGTTTAATTTCTTAGTCCTTTTTGGGAAGTAGTCTCTTGGTGTTTATTCTGTTATTCAAATGTGTTCATGTTAGTAAAGTGCCTGGTGTTAAATAATGGTATGATGTGTATGGAACTATGAAATGTGGCGTAATTATGGAAAACAAATTATATTTGCTTTTAGATAAAATGTTGCAAGCGTGTATGAGCATTAAGAAACTTTTTCTTAATACCCTTGAATGTACATCTGAAGAGTTATATGGGAATGTAAAGCACAAAAACTTGAGATTCTGTTTTGCCTCATAGGTTGGTGGTTATTGTGTTTGGTACAGAATATAGATGGAATCTAAACAGGCAGAAACGAGGTAATGATACTGTACAATAATACAATATTATAATATTACAGTATAAACGGTATGCTTGGCATTTTGGTAAAGAGTGAGATAATGGAGGAGTGGTTAATACAGTGGGAAAAGGCTGAAAATGTCTGTAAACTTGCAATCTGTTTAAGGGTAAAAAGGAAAAAAATGTAGAAGAACATTGTAGGCTATGTTCATTTATGGGTTATCCAGACTTCAAACACACCCATGCACTAACGTTGCTATTACAGACATCCATTCCACTTGGAAAAGTCTTTTTAATCCACATTAATCATGACATGTTTGATGTTGTTTAATCATGTGTTACATTCCACTGTTTTCAGCTTGTGTGTTTTCAATGGAAAATGTAAAGTAGATTGCGGTCTTTTATACTTTGACACTGTTTTACTGTTGTTTTACATTGTACATTCACGCACTTTATTTTTTCTACCAGTATTTGTAAGCTGTAAATGAGGTAGGCCACTGTCAACATCCCGGTTTAATATTGTAGCCAAGGTTTGTACATTAATGAAGAAATGAAAATGGGTCTGAAAGAGTATCTCCACTGTCTGACATGCAAAATTAAATTTTGCATAAACTCAAACTGTCACAGTCTGAGTATGTAATTTCATAAGCACAGTTGAGAAGAGTCAAAAATGTTTATGATGAACGATTTCTCTTCTTGAAATAAGATGAATACATTCATGATACATAATTATTATACGTAGAGGTCCAAACTCTGACTAAAAAAATCTGACATTAAAAAAATTATTTAAACCTGGAAATAAACTTTTTTCCATTCAAACAGAAGCAGAATTCTAACTGCAGTTTTTATTTTTTACATTTTACAAGAATTCATATGAATTCACAACCTGTGGAGTGGTTTTTACAGAGGTTTAGAATATGAAACATTTGTCTTAACAATATGAAAGGCAGTTAAGGAACATGTAAACATGTTGGTCATTTTGCTTTTACTGAATGCTAAGAGAAATATTCTGCTGTGATTGCATCTCTGACACCTCTGCCAGTTGGATGGTCCTGCGTGAAGGGGTCAATATCATCAGGTGGGAGTTGATATTCATTTGGCACCCGCTCCTTCCTTATAGTGGCTATGTTGTGGAGAATAACACAGGCACCTACGATCTGAGATGCCCGCTCTGGTGATACTCTTAGGTCACGAAGACAGTTGAACCGTGCCTTTAAAATGGCAAAAGTAGTGTCTATCTTGAGCCTGGTTTGACTGAGGGCTATGTTAAAGTCATTTTGTGGTTTTGTCTCGGGGTCAGGGTAGGGAGTCATCAAAAAGCTCTGACATGCGTAAGTTCTGTCTCCCACCAGCAGGCCATCAAACAGCCCTGTCAATGAACAGAAAAGAGAAAAGTGTCACAATGTCACAGTTAATTCAAGTGTTGTCTACAGTTCCCATTTTATCATACCTTCTTGAAAGCGCTGACATAACGACTTCTCGAAAATTTGGGTGTCCAGCATAGAGCCAGGCCATCTGGCATCCAGACTTGTGATCATACACTGATGGTCACAAGTTATCTGTAATTAACACACAGTAGGTGAGTCCCATGGGTTAGTGATACATTATCACGAAAATATATGCATATTAGTCAAAAGAAATATACCTACCTGAACGTTGAGGCTATGAGTAGCGTTTCTGTTAAGATAATCAGCCTCAATTTGTTTTGTTGGTGTAGAGATTGGAATGTGCATGCAATCTATTGCTCCAATAACTCTAGGGAATCCTTTAAAAGATAAAAAAAAATAAAAATCTGTTTGGCAACTTTTATCGATCATTATTGATGGTGTATTCGTGTATAAATCCATCTTACCAGCTATTTTAGAGAAGCCGTCTTTTATGGCCACGGTGGGTAAATGTCCAGGGAACGCAATGAAAGTGTTTATGTATCTCTGGAGTGCGATAACCACCCTACGAATAGTTCGGCAAACTGTGTTTTTGCTGAGCTTCTCGGCATCGCCCACCTCATACAGGTATGTGCCACTTGCGAAGAAACGCAAAGCGATACAAATCATTTGCGGGACAGTGGTCGCGTGGCTTCGCCGCGTCGGGTTTTTAATATGGGGCTCAAGAAGCCGACAAAGATATAACATTCCCTCCGACGAAAACCTGTATCTCTCGTATAAGTGCTCATCAGAGAATGCCAGTGGGTTTTGTTTATCTCTTATAACTCTTTCCCTGCGTAAAGCCCTTTGTACAATTTGGGCTCCGATGTCTACAGGATTCTCCAAATACGGTGAAGCCATTTTGCTACTACTACCAGAGTATACTTCTATTCTCTTTGCTACTACTACGCATGCTGCTTCTTCTTCTTCTTCTTTGACGTTTATATGGCGGTTGGCAAACCAGCTTTAGGTGCATATACCGCCACCTACTAGGATGGATTGTGGAGCATTCTTCTGTCTTTTTATGACGGTTGGCAAGCAAACAAAACGGTGCGTTCCCGCCACCTACTGAGCTGGAGTGTGATTAATTGATGGAACAAGAAGAAAGACTTAAGCTGAGAGAGAGAGAAAGAAAAAAGAAAAAGAAAAGAAAAAAAAAACGACTTCTCGAAAATTTGGGTGTCCAGCATAGAGCCAGGCCATCTGGCATCCAGACTTGTGATCATACACTGATGGTCACAAGTTATCTGTAATTAACACACAGTAGGTGAGTCCCATGGGTTAGTGATACATTATCACGAAAATATATGCATATTAGTCAAAAGAAATATACCTACCTGAACGTTGAGGCTATGAGTAGCGTTTCTGTTAAGATAATCAGCCTCAATTTGTTTTGTTGGTGTAGAGATTGGAATGTGCATGCAATCTATTGCTCCAATAACTCTAGGGAATCCTTTAAAAGATAAAAAAAAATAAAAATCTGTTTGGCAACTTTTATCGATCATTATTGATGGTGTATTCGTGTATAAATCCATCTTACCAGCTATTTTAGAGAAGCCGTCTTTTATGGCCACGGTGGGTAAATGTCCAGGGAACGCAATGAAAGTGTTTATGTATCTCTGGAGTGCGATAACCACCCTACGAATAGTTCGGCAAACTGTGTTTTTGCTGAGCTTCTCGGCATCGCCCACCTCATACAGGTATGTGCCACTTGCGAAGAAACGCAAAGCGATACAAATCATTTGCGGGACAGTGGTCGCGTGGCTTCGCCGCGTCGGGTTTTTAATATGGGGCTCAAGAAGCCGACAAAGATATAACATTCCCCCCGACGAAAACCTGTATCTCTCGTATAAGTGCTCATCAGAGAATGCCAGTGGGTTTTGTTTATCTCTTATAACTCTTTCCCTGCGTAAAGCCCTTTGTACAATTTGGGCTCCGATGTCTACAGGATTCTCCAAATACGGTGAAGCCATTTTGCTACTACTACCAGAGGGCTCAATTCTACATTTATGATCCCTCTCGATAGAGCTTCGTCTTCTGCAATTCATCCAAAACTATTAAGCCCGGCAGATTCATGTTCCCAACATTTTAACAACACTTTTTTAATTGGATGAGTATCATTATGTCCCTTTACTGATATCCAGTAATTCAACATTAGCTTTATTCTTCTGATATCAAGAGGCATTTCATTCATTTCTACCTGTAAGGCAGGAATAGGAGAAGACTTGATAGCACCGCAACATATTCGTAATGCCTGTGATTGAATCATTTCTACTTTATGCAGCAATGTTTTGGATGCAGACCCATATACTATACATCCATAATCTATGGTTGACCTAATTAGTGCACAATAAATTCTCTTCAGTGAATGACGTCTGGCCCCCCAATCCACCACAGCTAGACATCTTAAAATATTTAAAACTTTTTTGCATTTATCAACAATTTTTTGTATATGAATTCCAAATGTCACTTTAGTATCCAGCCAAACCCCAAGATACCTTAACACATTCACCTGTTCTAAAGGTTTGCCATATAGCTGTAATTTTATACTGTTACATTCTCTCTTTTTTGAGAAACAGATAACCTGTGTTTTTGACACTGATAATCGGAATCCCCACTTATCTGTCCATTTCTCCACTTCATTAATTGCACTCTGCATACTTTTAACCACATACAAAACATTAGTCCCTCTCTTCCACAATGCCCCATCTTCTGCAAAGAGAGACTTTTCAACTCCTGCACTGACCTGGGAAAAAAATGTCATTAATCATTACATTAAATAGGATGGGGCTACACACACTTCCCTGAGGAGTACCGTTTTCAGTATAATATGTTTTGGAGAATGACGAACCCACCCTGACTTGAATAGATCTATCAAAAAGGAAACTATGAATCCAGTTAAACATTCTTCCACCAATACCCATCTTATCCAATTTAATTAGAAGTCCCTCTTTCCAATTCATGTCGTAGAATTCACGTCTCCACGTCGAAAAATACTCCTACTAAAACTTCCTTATATCAGACTCTAGACATAGAACCGCATCCATAGTGTTCCGACCTTTCCGAAACCCACTCTGGAAAGGAGAAAAATATCGTTTATTTTCCAGAACATGATTCAATCTAAATATAATCATTCTCTCCATAATTTTACACAGATTAGACGTTAGGGCTATAGGCCTGTAACTAGAAACTAATGAAGGGTCCTTTCCTGGTTTTGCAATTGGAATAATAATCCCATGTTTCCAAATTGTCGGTAAAATCCCTTTATCCCAGATTCTATTAAAAAGCCTTAACAAAATATACAATGATGTATCTGATAGATGCTTAACCATTTCATAGCACACATCATCCTTCCCTGGGGAGGTTTGCTTAGCCCCTAAAATGGCCCTTTTTAGTTCAAAAAGAAGGAAAAGGAAAAATCATTATCTAACGTACTTCCTGATAATCCTCTATGAACTAATAATTCTGGATTATCTCTTAAACAATTATCTCTATGCCTTCTCATACTGTCTGGGATATTATCATTATTATGTACTTTTACAAAGGCTTTGGCTAAAACTTCAGTTTTTTCGATATCCAAAACAGCGGGTTTATTTCCATTTATTATAACCGGAATACTGTTATTTCTTTGTATTCCATTCATCTTCTTGATCATTCCCCACACAGAACTTATTTCAGTTTCTTCCCCTATACTTTCACAATATTGTCTCCAATAGTTTCTTTTTGCATTTTTGATCACCTTCCTAACAATTGCCTGTTTCCTCTTATATTCAATAAAATCGTTAAAAACATAATTTTTCCTAACCTTTTTCAGAGCTTTATTCCGATGCTTTATTGCTTCACTACACTCATCATTCCACCACGGAACTGGCTTCTTCCTTCTACTTGTTTTGCTTTTACCAATTACTTCTTCTGCTGCCTTACATAGACTCTCACTTATTCTATTGTTTAATTCTTCAACCTCCTCTACTGATTCTTCTAGTTCCATCATCAATGTCTCACTTACCTCCTTAAATTTATCCCAGTCAGCTGACTTAAATTTCTATCTAGGCAATCTTTCCACTACATGCACTTCCATATCTATTCCTATTTTACAAGTAATCGGATAATGATCAGTACCTATTCAATTTTGGTTCAATACATTCCACATACATCTCCTTGCCAAATTTCCTGAAACAATGGTTAAGTCTAATGCAGATGACTTTCCTTTTGCTAAATCAATTCTTGTTGCTCTTCCATCATTAATGTGTGGAGCATTGATGTTAAAGGAAAAACTAAGAAGCTAAAGAACGAAGAAAAAACAAACAAACAAAAAAAATAATAATTCTTTAAATCCTGTTCATTAATTCGGTGTCTTTGATAGATACTTAAATTTTATTTTTTTGAATACTATATAAATGTCGTCCTTTATTATCACCATCCCATTTACTTTGCCACATATCTTTTAATGTTTTTTTAATTAGCCCATTTATTTCTAATTTACTCGTCGGAACATTAAACTCTATGTCTGGATGTTTTTTAATGTTTTTTAGTTTTTTTCCCCTTCTATTCCTATGTGCAGGTATCCATACAAAAGAGATAACTGTTTTTGTTTGCATTCTGAACAAACTTTGTAAAATGTCTGATAAAATGTATTGTTTAGTTGAAAATGTACCACTCATTAAACTTGATAATGCTGAAAAAGAGTCTGAACATATGACCACTTCAGGTAGGCCTATATTGATCTCTTCAACCCACTGAAGAGCCAATAATATTGCAATCATTTCTGTTGTATAAACTGATAGATGATTAGATGCTCTTTTTGCTATTTTATACCTGAACCTTGGAACATATATTGCTGCTGCTGTGCGTCCTGTTTCAGGATCTTTAGATCCATCTGTATATATATGAGTTACTGATATATACTTCTGATCCAAATATTTATGTACTATAGTATCTTTAGATTCTTGTCTGTTTTTATCATTTATACTTACTAGAACCTGAAGATCAACTGCAGGCATTGGGAATAACCATGGAGGTGTTACAGGCAACACTACAGTATTGCAAACAGCATATTTACTTATTCCAATTTGATGAGCCTCACTATTTGCTTTCCATCCAAAACTATTTAGATTTACATATTCATGTTCCCAGCAGTTTTCTAATACTCTTTTTACTGGGTGTATTTCTGAATGCCCTTTTATAGTAGCCAAATACACCAGTTTCAGCTTCAACCTGCGAAGCTCCAGTGGCATCTCATTCATTTCAACCTGTAAAGCTGATACAGAAGAAGTTTGAAATGCTCCACAGCATAATCGCAATGTCTGATTTTGTATTTTATTCACCTTATCTAACAGAGATGCTGAAGCTGTTCCATAAATCATACTCCCGTAATCAAATGTAGACCTTATAAGTGCACAGTATATTATTTTTAGAGACTGTCTATCAGCTCCCCAATCTATTCCTGCCAAACACCTCAGTACATTCATTCCTCTCTTACATTTATCTACTATCTGTTGAATGTGTTTTGCAAATGTTATCTTTGAAGCCATCCAAATACCTAAAAATCTAAATTCAGATACTTGCTCCAGTTTTTGCTCATACAATTTTTGCTCATGCCAACCGGTGTTGTCTTCTTTTTTCTCCTTAATCCAGTTATACATTCTACCATAATATTCATTTTATCCAATTTAATTAAAAGTCCTTCCTTCCACATCATATTGTACGCTTTCTCAATGTCCAAAAACACACCAACTAATACTTCTTTATTAACCTGAGCCTTTCTTATATCCGATTCTAGACTTAAAACTGCATCTGTTGTGTTTCTGCCTTTTCTAAAACCACTCTGATGAGGACATAAAAGATTTTTTGATTCCAGGACATAATTCAATCTTGCCACTACCATACGTTCCATTAGTTTACAGAGGTTAGAAGTTAATGCAATCGGTCTGTAACTTGTAACTTGCGAATGATCTTTTCCTGGCTTTACAATTGGAATAATTATGCCATGTTTCCAAGAGGAAAGGAGCTTTCCTAATTTCCACACTCCATTAAAAAGATATAATAAAATGTTCTTTGATTTATCTGATAGGTATCTAATAATTTCATTACATATTTCGTCTTTACCAGGAGAAGTGTTTCTCACTCCCACAAGTGCCTGATTTAATTCAAAACTTCATCTACTGAGCTTTCATTTACATCTCTTTGTTCTAAAATATTAGGATTTTCTTTCATTTTGTTTTCTCTATATAATCTCATTTCTTCTGATATATTTCTATTACTATGAACCTTAACAAAATTTTCAGCCAATACTTCTACTTTTTCAGAGTTAGATATTGATAGATACCTAATCATTTCATTACATATTTCGTCTTTACCAGGAGAAGTATTTCTAACTCCTACAAGTGCCTGATTTAATTCATACATGGTAAAAACTTCATCTATTGAGCTTTCATTCACATCTCTTTGCTCTAAAATATTTGGATTTTCCTTCATTTTGTTTTCTCTATATAATCTCATTTCTTCTGATATATTTCTATTACTATGAACCTTAACAAAATTTTCAGCCAATACTTCTACTTTTCCAGAGTTAGATATGACTTGTTTTCCTTCACTAATTAAAACTGGAATTTCTCTGTTAGGTTGAATCCCTCCCATCTTTCTTATCATTCCCCACATTTCACTAACATCTGTCTCTATTCCAATTTCATCACATAATTTCCTCCAATAATTCTTTTTTTTGCCATCCGAATTGTTTCCCTGGCAATTGCTTGTGTTCTCTTATATTCAATAAAATCATTAAATGAATATGACTTTTTTACTTTCTTAAATATGCTGTTCCTTTTTTATATATATATAATTTCACTGCACTCTTCTGTCCACCATGTACAACCTTCTTTCTCCTTTTCCCTGTGGTTTTCCCAACATCAGTTGCTGTTTTGTAAATAACTTCACTTATACATTTATTTAATTCATCAACATCTTCTTCCGATATATCTATTGCTAAC